TTCAGCATGGCAACGCCTTAATAAGGCCAAGTTAGGAAGCCAGTTCAAAAAGAAACTGAAGCAAAAAGTTAGAGAATCGAGAGAGTTGTTCTCCAGATTCAGACGTCACGCAGAGACTGTCCTCCATCAAGGGGGGTAGTGTTTCGTTTGAGTGGCCAAGGGATTGCGACAGCTGGGCTAGGGATGATGTTTCCGCATTCTTTAGAGAATATGCACACGTCTTCACCCCAGCGACCTTCCATGGTTGCGCCCTAGGCCTGAAGGACAGCAATGGCTATCCCATCAAGAAGCCATGGAAAGTCATGACCAGCAATAGCACACTCGCGTCCGCACTAGGTGCATTCAAGTGTCCGCACGAAAAAGGGTATAAACATTCGCTTGCAGCAGGTAACAAGACCGCAAAGACCGCTTTCTACCCCGAAGGCATGTGTCTCACAGTTGCCCGTGCGCTGTATCCAACAGTTCAACCCGTTGTGCCTGCGATGCCTGTCCAAGTGCCATTGCCTCTCGATCACCGGGAACGTGAACAGCAGTTGAAGCACATATCCCCTCTCTCTGGTTTGGAAGATATAGGTGTTGCTGTTGAGTCAGATGAAAAGTGTCACAACATTCTTGAGCAAGTTCTTGATGTTGAAAATCTCATCGCACATTCCCTAGGACAAGTCACAGAGAAGAAGGATCCTGAGATCACCGCAATGGTGACCAGACTCTTGTCACGTGCCGAAATGTTGGCTTCCCCGGAAGCTCTTGAAGCCGTTCGACTTGAAGCCACAGGCCTGGAGAAAGCCGGTGCTTGGGATCTAAATTCAGTCCGAGAGTATGATCAAGTCGCTGCTGAGGCGCGACGATCCAGTATAAAAGTCCATTTCGGGCAGTTGATGTCGCTAGCATCCGTCAAGTTCGCCGAACTCGCGAAACACCTTCAGAAGATGAAAGGTAGGATTGTGTATCGCGGAGACTGTGCGAAAGACGAACATGGCGCAGCAGCTGTCTACCAAGAGTTGGGAGCAAATCCCACGAGCGTACAAGGTCTTAATAACTGTCTCGCTTATGGATCCCTGCCAGGGAATTCCACCACAACAGCGGACGCTATAAAGGCTTATGTGCAAGCACTGCTGAAGTCCAAGTACCAAACTTGGATCACACTCCCGCCTGAGCTCCGGCCAAGGTGGTGGCGCGAGCGTTTCGTGAAACCTGTGGTTTTGCTCGTTAAAGCTCTTTATGGGCATCCTGACGCTGGCGGACTCTGGGAGGCACACCTCAAAGGTTTCATTAGTGAACTTGGAGGGCGTGAGGTCGCAGAGTTTCCTGGAAACTTCTGGTTCAAGGAGTCCGGGTTACTTCTCTCGACATACGTCGACGACTTGACGTTGGCCGGCCCCAGCCACCTTCATAAAGACTTCTGGGAAAAGTTAACAAGACTGGTTGATATAGAACCCCCAGAAGACATATATCGGGTGCTAGGCAGGAACCACCTTTTGATAGATGCTCCAAAGGACCCAACTGAACCCGATCTTAATGCCGCAATGGGCAGATTGAAAAGGGGCATGGCGTTCGACATGCGGGATTATGCCCGTCAGACGGTGGCATTGTATCTTGAGGTTGCACAGCTAAAAAGTGAAAAGTTGCGTGATGCCACCACTCCATTCTGTCCCGCTGGATCCCTCGATCCTGCAGATGACGCCTTGGAGGGTGAGCTCGGCTTCGCTGCTTGCCGCGTGTTGATGAAAGCCTTGTGGCTCGGCCGTTTGGCACGCCCAGACCTGGTCAAGCCCATTGGCGACCTTGCCTCATTTGTTCAAAAATGGTCTAGAAACTGCGATAAGCAGCTACATAGGCTTGTTTGCTACATAAACAGCACGGTCAACAGCACGCTAGTAGGCACAGTCCAAGATTCGACTGAGGATTTGCATCTGTCCCTTTATGTGGACGCCGATTTCGCCGGAGAGCGAGATGCAAAATCCACGTCCGGAGGATTCTTGATTTTGAGTGGTCCGCACACGCATTTTCCGCTTGCGTGGGTATCCAAAAGGCAGACATCGGTCTCCCGGTCAACGACCGAGGCGGAGATTGTATCTCTCGCATACTCCCTTTATCAGGAGGCGCTCCCTGCGCTTAGCTTGTGGGAGCTGATCTTGGACCGACCATTCCATCTCAAGATCCACGAGGACAATCAGGCGACTATCCTCGTAGCAAGGAAAGGTTTCTCATCCAAGCTACGCTGTGTCCAGCGAACACACAAGGTGAACCTCGCGTGCATCGCAGAGCAGCTTGAAAGCGAACACATCTCGATAGAATACGTCCAAACCGACATGCAGTCAGCGGACATCTTCACGAAAGCACTTCCACCCAACAAGTGGGACCATGCCATCCGGTTGCTCGGCATTCGTGTTGACCTTCCAGAGAAGCTTGAAGACGTTCGTGAAAGTAGGGCCGCTAAAGCAGCTGCCTAGTGCGCTGCAGCATGTCCGCAAATTTCCAAAAGTGTGCAAAGTGCCTG